ACTGTTTTTCTACATACATGCTGTTGGACCGAGTTTGCTATAAAATACTGTTAACTGTTTTTCTACATACATCCATGCTGTTGGGCCGAGTTTGATATAAAATACTGTTAACTGTTTTTCTACATACATGCTGTTGGACCGAGTTTGCTATAAAATACTGTTAACTGTTTTTCTACATACATCCATGCTGTTGGGCCGAGTTTGATATAAAATACTGTTAACTGTTTTTCTACATACATCCATGCTGTTGGGCCGAGTTTGCTATAAAATACTGTTAACTGTTTTTCTACATACATCCGAGTTTGGGCCGAGTTTGATATAAAATACTATTAACTGTTTTTCTGCATACATGCTGTTGGACTGCGTTTGATATAAAATACTGTTAATTGTGTTCATACATCCATGCTGTTGGGCCGAGTTTGATATAAAATACTGCGTCAGAGGAGACTAGCGGGATCAGGTAGTCAGATTTGCTGACTTTATTAACACATGTCATCGTATCCCAATTGTGTAGAACGATTCTGATGATGTTTATCACTGGTTATCTGGTCCAGACTCGAACATTTACAGACGGTCGCCATGTATATGGAATATTACTAAGTGCGACGTACGACATACGACGTTATACAGTAAAACCAACAAACCTACTATAAAACACTGGATAGTATTACTACAATGAACTGTTCTAGATATCCATACCAATGTTGTGTAATGTTTATAATGCTGGAAACCAAAACTGGGTATCAAATATCATTTGACACAGCGTTTGAACCACATTTGGTTATCACAAATTGTTTTGGATTCTAAAATGTTTACATCTATATTCAACGGTTAAAGATATTGATTTCCACAACTGGCATAGTTTCATATCATCTTCGAAATATATAAGTAATTATAGCAATATTAAATCCTTTTTATAGCCTGAAAAATATTATATGTGTTTTTTGGATAGGTTTTTGCTAAGAACTTTATGTAACTTTGGAATCTATTCGTGATTTTTTCATTAATAATCTACAAAAAAAGGAAGAAAAAGAAACACAAATGAACATGTGGTTAAATCACTTGGCGAACTTAGGATCAAGGGAGACAATTTCCATGTCCTGTGCGTTTGTCAAACGTTTCGTGAGGAAAGATTAATCTTCTAAGCCTATCCAGTGTTAAATAACATCTACTAGAACATTGTGCAATATTTTATATAGAAACAATGAGGATACTTTACGAGTACTGGTCATGTTCTAAATTTGTATTTCTGTATTTTCTGTTTTGGAAATAAAAATGATGTGTCCTGTGCCATATGTTATATCATACAGCAACTATATGGTAACACATTACTGAATAAACACATCTATCTGTGTATTTAATACCTATGGTATACTGTGTTACTGTCCCTATGTAATTTCAGCAAACACTAACTGTTAATCTTTTATACATTACAAAATGTGAACTAGCAACTGTATTGGTATTTGAAACATTTGAACTAAATTTGCTGTGCGTGCCTATTAGCCTGAACTGGACACCCCTTTAAGTGCTGGGGAGCTATCTCACTCCTCGAAGGTACATCACTGAGTGAGTGAGTTTAGTTTAATGCTGCACTCAGCAATATTCCAGCTATATGGCGGCAGTCTATAAATAACCAGACTGACCAGACAATCCAGTGATCAACAGAATGAGCATTGATCTGCACAATTGAGAACCGATGACATGTGTCAACCAAGTCAGCGAGCCTGACCACCCGATCCCGTTAGTCGCCTCTTACGACAAGCATAGTCGACTTTTGTGGCAAGCATGGGTTGCTGAAGACCTATTCTACCCCGGATCATCACGGGACGAAGGAATATCAAGTCCATGCATGCAAGAACAAACAATATTAACTGATGTTTAGAATTTATTCATCATGATATCTACCAAGGAATCAAATTCTGGGGCAACACACCCAGTATGAAACCAATACGGCAATGATATATTACATACATACTTATGTACAATATTCAGTAATAAATTAATAACAAACAATTTTTACAGGATAAAATTCATAACAATAAGATGGTATTGCATTAAAACAACAACAGTCAATGAAATATCTCTTAAGATACCATAAACATCTTCAGTAGCAACAAGTTAAAATCTCAACTGCTGTATCCCCAACTATAGTCCGTTTTTTCAAAAGCGGACCGATGAATGCAATCTAACTTCGAAAACTAATAAACATACAACATACTCAATGAAACGCTGATCATAATCAAAACATCATACCCACTCTGTGAGGTTTTGCAGAATTATTGTCCTAAAATAATAAAGTTGTTTAACAAACTATGATTAAAATATTGACACAGTTCACTGTTTGTTACGAGGAGGAGTGCAGAGAAAGAGGCAGCCAGGTATCTCGGAAGCCACGCCTCACAGACAAAGTAATTTATTCATTAACCTGTGCAGTGCCGCTCCATCCTTTCTCGCACACCTGGCTGTCCTTTCTCTGCACTCCTCCCTCAAAATAGTGAACTGTGTCAATATTTTAATGATAGATTGTTAAACAACATTTTTATTTTTAGGACAAAAATTCTGCAAAACCTCACAGAGTGGGTAGGTATGATGTTTTGATTATGATCAGCGTTTCATTGAGTATTTTATGTTTATTAGTTTTCGAAAGTTAGCTTGCAATTCATCAGTCTGCTTTTGAGCCAAACGGACTATAGCCCTTTCCTGTACATGTATATAGTTCTATTGGTGAGAATGATCTCCTTGGAGTACAAATGCATCACACAGTTATTTCCCCTTAATCCAAAAAGCACTATGCTGATCACAGACAGAAACATAGGACTTGGAATGCAGTCAGTATACAATTACACTTGAAAATAAATTCCTTGTCTTATTAATGATTATTATTTTTCAAATGCATTATCCAATGTAATGATGGTAAGACTGTATACAGAATACCGGATACCTGCCACCATCTTTGAAAGCAGTTTACTTTTGAATAGGGTTGGAGTAAGGTTTAGGGTTAGGGTCAGAGTTAGGGTTTGGATTTGGGTTAGTGTGGACGTGACACTAAACAATATGGTTGGTAGGTATCCGGTATTCTGTGTATGCATCGAATGATGAAATTAATAATATATTCAATGGCAGTTGTTTGATGCATGAGAAACCAAACCATACAACTGTTACCACAAACTGACAAAAAACACAAAAACTCCCATATCTATTGTTTGTGATTTAAGGCTTGTTTTTATAAATTCTTCAAACAATGACAAGAGGTGAAAATACCATGTAAGATATATTTGAACATTTAGAATGGGTGGAGGTTACTTCAAAACACAAAGAACAATGACAATATCATGTTCATTGAACAAAAAAAGCTTCGGACCATTTACAATAATACCCTGAAAATACACAACAGTTTTACAATTTAACTTAACCAATCATATCTTTCACTGAGTTGATATTTTGTGTTATATCTTTTTATCCTATCTTTGTTTTATCAACCCATCAGGCTATAAGGAAAAGTTTTTCTCAGATATAATATTTACCAGGTCACCACATGCCCATTGTGCTAAACTTCAAACATATCTCTGACACATCGTGACAACATAGTTTTGTCAGATCATATGTTTTCAGACATGGCTGGCTGGCTATGTTTAAGCCACTACTTGCACAACAGACGTGTTTCATCACAAATACATTGTTTACTTTAATGAAAATAGCTTGTTTTAAAAGATAAGGTTGAATTTTATAAGTGAGGGGGATAGTTTACAGTTGTTCATGTGATTAACTGGAAAACGTATAATTCTTTAGCATCCAAAACCTACAACATGAGGATACAGAAAAAACAAAGACATAACCGTTGCATTAAATAAGGGCATGTTCAAACTCATGTTGCAACCAGAATTTTAGCGGAAATTGTTTAACTTTATTGATCAGCCTGAACATAAATTTCAAGTATGGCCTGGTTCACACAAGAACATCAATCATGAGAAACACAACTTGACTCTTCATGGGCCAACATCAACCGGGATTTGATGCAGCATCTTGTAATAAGTTTTACCGATGTTACAAGAAATACATGATTCTTTGGCTGCATCTTCTACTTAGATAATTTCTTTGTTATCTTTAAGCTTTGTTTTAAAACTTTGGACAGATTGTCATTTTCTTATGAAGACTACAAATCTATGTTAAGACCTAGTTTAGTACAGCAGGGTCACATTTTGTTTAGAGTGGCGAGTTTGGTCTTATGCAGCTTTTATAAATAATAAAGCAATATTACAGGGACGCCATACATAGGCTTCACATCTGGGGAATTGACCTGGGTTTACAGCAAGATGAGTGGACAATTAAACCACTTGGCTTCCCTAATGCCTAATTAGAAATGGAAAAATTATCATTGAAACAGACTCAAAAGACTGCTTGTAAATACATTGTACTAACACTTGCCAAAGTTTTGTATCAGTTTCTAACAGACCACAGTTTTTTCTGCCAATGTTTGAAGTCAAACATTAACAAATACATTCCAATATAATGTTCATATGAGTAAAATCAAACATATAGATATTGCTCATGGGCAGGTTGATAATTTTATTGCTCCTCATTACATGTCCCTTCACTTAAATCAGATCCTATTTCAAGGCAAGTTTATTGCAAATATCATACATTATTCAAATATTCATTACAAGGCTTCTGCAGTAAACAACTCCTATATCACAACAACACAACAGGGAAACAAATCTGCACACCTCCTTGCATTGGCAAACAAATCTGAAGATCAAACATTCTTTGATTGGCATTCTAGAAGTTGGGTAGATGTAGAATGAGGACTATTTTTATGGATATACAACTTCTATATTCTATATAGGCGACGTTTCGACATAGATTCTAATGTTGTCAAGCAAGTGGTTACAACATTAGAATCTATGTTGAAACGTCGCCCATATAGAATAAAGAAGTTGTATATCCATAAAAATAGTCCTCATTCTTGAAGATCAAACAGTGAGCATGTCCTTTGCTATTTCTTGTGTTTCATGGAGACTGTTAGCATTCTTTACCCAATCTTTGTCAAGGTCATAGACTTGGTTCAAACTGAGCTGTTAATGACGTATACATGTCCAACAGAAAATAAATATGTAGATGATTTTGAAATAAATGCTTCAATGACTCCATTGTTGTTCATTAAACTGTGGTTTCGACAGGACTTGTGGTTGATGCTGTGCCACTTGTAAGACTTGACCGACTATTGTACATCTCCTTTTGACCTGGCATCAGAGATTCTGAAAACAAAGAAAACAATGTTAACTTGCTTCAAAGAAAACCACAGTAAACTAAAATTATATCAAACTCAAAGGACCATTAACTTTAGTTCGCTATAACCATTTTTTGTTGAACATGTTCTGAAAACCACAGTAAACTATATCTACATATCAAACTCAAAGGACCATTAATTTTAGTTTGCTATAACCATTTTTTGTTGTATATCTTCTGAAAACCACAGTAAAAACCACATTTATATCAAACTCAAAGGCGGATTATTTTACTTCGCTATAACCATTTTTTGTTGAATATCTTCTGAAAACCACAGTAAAAACTATATTTATATCAAACTCAAACCATTTTTTGTTTAACACATTTCGACTAACATGAAGCCAGTAGGAATCATAGCAGAGAAGAGGTTCAAGGTGTATGGTGACTGCCATAACATTTGCTTTTTGTTATTTTATTCAGAATTCAACAACATTCCTGATGACCTAGTCGCTTCATACAACAAGCTGGGACTGGCTCCTAGGAATCCCCTAGTTTGGCAAAAGAGGCGACGACCACAGTAGTTAGGTTGCTAGAATGTGCACCATGGGAGTATTCATCCCCATTGTTATGGATCATATGTAGTTTATTGTTATCTCAGAAGACAATTGTGATTGATTGATTGATTGATTGATTGATTGTGGTTTTATGACACTTTTAGCAATATTCCAGCAATATCCTGGCAGGGGACACCAGAAATGGGCTTCACACATTGTACCCATGTAGGCAATCAAACCTGGGTCTTCAGCGTGATAACTGGACACTTTAACCATTAGGCTACCCCACTGTTCCTCATTACAGTCAATCAGTGTACTTTAACAAAGATTTCAAGGAGTGTCCCAAAAACTTTGGTCACAAGTTAAACATTAATTGCTCAGTGTAGCTTTCTTTAAGTTTAGGCCATATGGAAGCACTTGATGTGTCTGTGCATGTGTTTGCCATCGTTTAAGCAGGATATGATTTACCTTTCACACGAACATTTGGTGTCTGAACTATTTCATAGTGCTGCTGAGATTTAGAGCTTAGCAAGAATGAGTTCTTCAATATTAAGATTCCTAATTAGTGTTTTTATATTAGTGAACATGCTGTTCTTCAAGTTCATATTATTGAAATTCTAAACTTTGTTATGAATACAGAAAATATAATTTGAATGTGTCATCTAGTATTACTATTGGGATGGTAGAACATTCTGATATCTATAATAATAACTATATATGTTGGGCAACATCAAATAATTAATCAAGGGCTTGTCTCTTCCCAAATGACAATAAATCAGTACAAAACAAATCCTTTGGCTCTGCAGCTCTTGTGTAAATAAAGAATAAATTGGTTATATAAATATATTGGAAAACATTCCATGCCAACCACATGCTAAACATCACACACTGGTCAAGTTCATAGAGGTCAAGGTCATCTCCTCGGTTACAAAGGAAACACAACACAGTTTGGTGACTACAAAACATTTTGGGAATCTCAAAGCAATTCCATATTTCTCAAAATGAAAAATGTATACATAGTAGTCTGAAAACCCAACTTCAAGCATGTTATGTAGAACATATAGTTAAGTGAGTGAGTTTGATTTTCCACAACTGTGGAGCACCATAGCTTAAGCAATATTGCAGGAATATGATCATGCATTGGGGACACCAGAAATGGGCTTAGGCAAGACACATTTTACCCATGTTAAGTAAACATTGTGGAGGAAGTTTGAACACGGCCAATTCAGCGGGGACACCAGATGGGCTTCACACATTGAACCCATGTGGGGAATCGAACAGTTTAAGCGCTTTACCCACTAGGCTACCCCACCGCCTCTGTAAACATATAGAAGACCAAAGAGCAAACTGTTGCCACAGAAACTACACTGTGGACTGGGTAAATCAAAAATTTACTCGACACAGATCTTCTTATGGTTCTTTTCAAGCAATAATATTCAGTTTCTCATAGACGAGGCTAAAAGGAAATAATTAAATCAAGTAACACTTTCAGAATGGTTGAGCTCTGTTGATTATTAAAAGTCAAAAACATTCCTGATTCTTTGTGTACATTATCTGCTACACAAGTCTGCCAATCAGAACATCCGGGACAAATCTCATATTGAATCCAAGCCACTCACTGGATGGTTAGGCATGAACAGCCAAACATATTGTTTTACTTTTACAATGAGGATCTTTATGCGTGTACAACACATATAAAACAACAAAACCTTCCAACAGGTTTGGTTCAGTAATTGTTTAAAGCCGCGACTCCACCAATATTCCAGCCGATATGGCGGCAATCTGGAAATAATTGAGTCTGACCAGACAATCCAGTCATCAACAGCACGCACATCAATCTACACCATTGGGATAACGACACGTGTCAACCAAGTCAGTGAGCCTGACCACCTGATCCCATTAGTGGCCTTTTATGACAAGCATGGGTTGCTGAAGACCAAATTCCAACCCTAGGTCTTCACGGATCTGTTGACAGAGGGGTAGCCATCCTATCAACTGAGTTATGAGTTATGCCTTCAGAGAAGCTCTAAGTGTGTTCTGACGCAGTCAATAAAGAATATATTACAGTAAAGAGTCAGAAGAAGTAAGAAATATTAGAAAACACAATTTAGGGCAATGCAAAGTCAAAGTCAAGCAGAGAAAGTTCTGACAAAAATGTTATTAAGATGTGGCATAATTAAGATATTTCTAGCATCCTTTTGATAATCAGTCAGCCCTCCTTTGAGGAATGTCTTTATAGATCAATACATGTGACATATTTTATATTTATTACGGGTCTCCACAAGAGCCACCATATAGCTGGAATATTGCCGAGTGCCATTTTGCGTAAAACTAAACTCACTCTACACAAGAGCGGCCATATAGCTGGAATATTGCCGAGTGCCATTATTGTGTAAAACTAAACGCACTCTACACAAGAGCGGCCATATAGCTGGAATATTGCCGAGTGCCATTATTGCGTAAAACTAAACTAACTCTACACAAGAGCTGCCATAGCTGGAATATAGCTGGAATATTGCCGAAAGTGCCATTATTGCCGCGTAAAACTAAACTCACTCTACACAAGAGCGGCCATATAGCTGGAATATTGCCGAGTGCCATTATTGTGTAAAATATCTTCACTCACTCAACACAAGACAACAACAAAATACCAGAGAAACATTTACATATCTAGATTAATATCTGAAACACAACAGATCATGCGTCAAGTAGTTATCGTTATATCATTTTATATATGATTATGCAAAAAAAAAATTGAAAATACATGGTGCAAAATACGCAAACTGAAACTTACAACAACTGACACACTGATAGCAAGCATGGTTCCCTTTTGGAAGTTTTGTTATTTTTTCTGGTTCTGTTTAATTGTTTCCTGAATTACTTAGTTTAGTCTTGGGGGCGTAGAAAAACATGTGTTACAAGCATCTTGAATCTTGTGGTCACTCACAAATTATTTGTTGTGTGTTTAAAGCCACACTCAGAAATATTCCAGGAAGATGATGGCAGTTTGTAAATATTTGAGTTTAGGCCAGGATGCCGGACATCATGACCAACGATCCATGCCGTTTAAACTGATCACATGTCACTGACCAATACACCGATTCCAACCAGCCGATCATATGGTTGCCACAAGCAACCAGACAGGTTACTGGAGGCCAGTTCTAACCCTTAATTCCGCCAGCAACACATACATATAACATGAGACTAAAGATATTACTCTGCCTATCACGTTGAAGGTCCGGGTTCGATCCCCGGTGGAGGCACCTAAGTTCGGGTCCCAAGGTAGACACATTTGCGTAGTATCCTTGGACATGATACTTAGATCCACTTTGTCTCAGTACACCTGGCTGTAAAATGGGTACCCGTTAGGATGTGCTGGGAATGTGAGTGATTTGTTCATTGAACCTAACAGGCAGCACGGCTGTATGTTCCTCAGGGAGTTGAAAACGTATTGGATAGTACAATGGTGCCCTATGACCGGGGATAGTAATGTACGTAGCGCTGTGAGCAGGCAAGTCTAGTGGTTAAAGCGTTGGGTTGTGACGCCAAAGACCCGGGTTCGAATCCCCACAAGGGTACTTTTTGTGATATCGCCACATAGATGATATCATTCCGGTTTGACTTAGAGAACATATCACCTTACACAGTCTAACGTTTAGGCATGACAGGTTTGACCTAGATAACATATCGCCTTACACAACCTAACTTTTTGTGATATCGCCATATAGATGATATCACTCTGGTTTGACTTGGATAACATATCACCTTACACAGTCTAACGTTTTGGTGTCACAGGTTTGACTTAGATAACATATCACCTTACACAACCTAACTTTTTGTGATATTGCCATATAGATGATATCATTCTGGTTTGACTTAGATAACATATCACCTTACACAGTCTAACGTTTAGGCGTGACAGGTTTGACTTAGATATCATCAGCCTTTACACAGGTTTGACCACAACCTCACTTTTTGTGATATTGCCATATAGATGATATCACTCTGGTTTGACTTAGATAACATATCACCTTACACAGTCTAACATTTTGTGATATCGACAGGTTTGACTTAGATAACATATCGCCATTTTTACAACCTAACTTTTTTGTGATATCACCATATAGATGATATCATTTCTGGCTTGACTTAGATAACATATCACCTTAACAGTCTTTAGGCATGACAGGTTTGACTTAGATAACATATCTTTACACAACCTTAACTTTTGTGATATCGCCATATAGATGATATCACTCTGGTTTGACTTAGATAACATATACACAGTCTAACATTTTTGGCATTGACAGGTTTGAATAAATATCGCCTTACACAACCTAACTTTTGTGATATCGCCATATAGATGATATCACTCTGGTTTGATTTAGATAACATATCGCCTTACACAACCTCACTTTTTGTGATATCGCCATATAGATGATATCACTCTGGTTTGACTTAGATAACATATCGCC